TAATTCTGATTTGGGGAATTTGTGTTTTCTCTCTTATTTTCTTGGCCAGTCTAGCTATATCTTCCTGGTATATTGGTCTTCCTATCACATAAAACGTTTCTCTCTTTGCACTAGTAATATTTCTTGTCTTAACATCAATTTTGTCTGATAGTAGTATGGCCACTCTTCTATGTTACTATTTGCATGAATTCCAATTTTTACCATTCAACCTATTTCTGTCTTTGAATCTAAGATGTGCCTTTTGTAGACAGCATATAGTTAGGTCTCACTTTTTTGTTGTTTTTTGAGTTGGCGTCTCACTCTGTCGCCCAGACTGGAGTGCGGTGGCATGCTCCCAGCCACTGCAGCCTTGACCTGCTGGGCTCTGGCGATCCTTCCGCCTCAGCCTTCTAAGTAGCTGGAACTACAGGTGTGCGCTACCACACCTGGCTAATTTTTTTGATTTATTGTAGAGATGAGGTCTCGCCAAGTTGCCCAGGCGGGTCTCGAACCTATGGGCTCAGGCAATCCACTCACCTCAGCCTCCCAAAGCGTGGGATTATAGGCTGAGCCACCGAGCCCGGTTAGGTCTCACTTTTATATTCAGTGTAACAGGCTCTACCATTTGACTGAAGTGTTTTTCCATTTTTATTTAACTATTTACATATAATTATTCATATGGCTGAATCTGCATCTTCCATCTTGTTATTGTTTTTTGTCCCTGAAATTTTCCTGCCCTTATTGTGTTAAATATTTCTAGTGTATTATTTTTTTATTCCTCTGTTGATCTTTAACTATTTGGGGGGTTATTTTCTTAGTGGTTAAACTAGGGATTATAATATACATCTTAATTTATCACAATCTATTTCAGAATAATACTGACTGAATTTTGGTAATATATCAAATCTTTGGTCCAATGTTTCCCCTTTCTCCCCTGTTATTGTCCTCCTACAATTGTATGTCCTGTTATTTTCATATATATTACATTGATATATTTATGTTTATAAACCTAACTGTATAATGTTGTAAATATTACTTTATACAATTTTATATCTTATATTTTGGAATGAACAGATAAAATGAGAAAAATGTGCTGATATTTTCTATTTGAGGAGTCATTGTGATCACACCTTCTTTTAACTCTTTCATCATAGTTTCTTTAGTTCTTTGAACATATTTATAATAGCTGCTTTGAAGTCTTTTTCTGTTAAATCCAACATCTGAGGACAAAGAGGGATGGTTTCTATTTACTGCTTTTTTTCCCCTGAGTATGTTTACACTTTATTTCTTCATACACCTCATAACTTTTTGTTGAATACTAGAAATTTTGATTAAAAACTGTAGCAATTCCTATTTTCTATGTTGACACCTTCTTGATGTTTATAAGCAGAATGGCTAAGTTGTAGTTCTCCAAATAAACGCAAATGAAATAATATTGCCCAAGTTAAATACTGATATCCTAAAGACAAGTTTACATAGTACCTAATGTACATATTATGAATTTGAAGCATGAAATTAAAAACATAAAATTGTTTTTTATCTCCCCAACACCCAAATCGTAGCGACTCTGGACTTTTTTTCTTCCTAATAATTCTTGTCCTTGTTGTTTTACTTGAGTGCTTGGTAAGTACTCCCTGGACTAAATCTGTCAAATCAGTCTCCCCACAATGTATAGCTACTGATATTTCTACTCAGTTTCTTTTCCTATTTTCACTTTTTTTTTTTTTGAGTCGGAGTCTCACTCCATTGCCCAGGCTGAAGTGCAGTGGCATGCGCACAGCCACCCCAGCATGGGCCTGCTAGGCTCAGGCAATCCTTCCACCTCAGCCTTCCAAGTAGCTGGAACTACAGGTGTGTGCTACCACACTTGGCTAATTGTTTGATTTATCGTAGAGGTCTTGCCAAGTTGCCCAGGCTGGTCACGAACCTGTGGTCTCAGGCAATCCTCTCACCTCACAATCCCAAAGTGCTGGGTTTACAGACCACACCTGGTCTATTTTCACTTTTAAACCTGGTTTCTCAGGGGGTCATCTCTGTATCTTCATAGCTTAATACTCAGCCAGAAAGTTTCTATTCTGGCAAGAACAGTGAATGTTTAGGTCATTTTCAAGTCTGACCTTTTCAATTCTTTAGGGTTCTCTTGTGTCTCCTCTGCATGTCTACACAGACTCCAACGGCCAGGATGTGTAGGTGGCTTAGGCTTGTCCTGGCTGTACTACACATGAGGACAGTCTCTGGCCAAACCAGAATATGTAGAGAGCATATCAAGGCTCATGTGGCTGTTTCACTTCCCAGAACTCCAAGCTGTCAGTTCACTGTTTGCCCCAAATAGGACAGAATTCTTGGACCACTGGAGCTGCTGGTTTTCTCCACTCTCTTGCCACCAAGAATGCCCCTTTAGCTGGCAGCGCTCCAGGTCAAGTGAGCCCCATCAGGCAGTGATGGTGACACCACTGGTTTTCCTGGGCTGCCTGCACTTGTTGAAATATCATGCCCAGCTGGGAATGGTGGCTCATGCCTATAGTCCCAGCACTTTGGGAGGCTGAGGTGAGAGGACTGCCTGAGCCCACGGGTTCAAAATCAGCCTGGGCAACTTGGTGAGGCCTCATTTCTACAAAAAATTGAAAAAATTAGCCTGGCATGATGGTGCGTGCCTGTAGTTCCAGCCACTTGGAAGGCTGAGGTGGAAGGATTGTGAGCCCAGCATGTCGAGGCTGCGGTGGCCAGGAGTGTGCCACTGCCTTCCAGCCTCGGTGACAGAGTGAGACTCCAACTCAAAAAAAAAAAGAAAAGAAAAGAAAAAGAAATATCATGCCCACAGAACTGGGGTTAGGGGAGTCAGAAAAGTCCAGGGTGAGTATACAACAAACTTGAATTTCAAGACTTTTCATGAATAAATGCTCTCAGCTTATCGTCTGCCTCTGGACATTTTTCAGAGTGCTGAAATAGCATTAGTCAGTTTTGTCCAACTTTGTAGTTGTCTTTTTTTATTATAATAAAATAAACTTTTTTTTGAGTCAGGGGTCTCACTCTATTGCCCAGGCCGGAATGCAGTGGCATGATCATGGCTCACTGCAGGCTACTTCTATGCTCAGGTGATGCCTCTACCTCAGCCTCCCAAGTAGCTGGGACTATAGGTACATGCCACCACACCTGGCTAATTTTTTGTAGAGACAAGATCTCACTATGTTGTCTTGAACTTCTGGGATCAAGCAATCCTCCTGCCTCAGCCTTCCAAAGTGCTGGGATTACAGGCATGATTCACGGCCCCTGGCCCATTTTAAGAGTATAATGTAGTGGCATTAACACTGTTACATTCACATTTATGTGCAACTATCACCACTATCTATTTCTAGAACTTTTTCATCATCCCAACCTGAAACTCTGTACTCCTCAAACAAGAATTCCTCATTCCCCTCCTCACAGCCTCTGGTAATTGTAGTTTTACTTCCTGTCTCTATGAATGTGACTGACTATTCTAGGTAACTAACATTGGTGGACTCATGCAGGATTTGTCCTTTTGTGCCTGGCTTGTTTCATTTAGTGTCATGTCTTCAAGATTCATCTATGTTACAGCGTGTGTCAGAATTGCATTCCTTTTTATGGTTGAATAATATTCCACTGTATGTGTCTACCACATTTTGTGGATCCATTCATCATCCATCAGTGATCTACACTGATGGATCCTGCTGTTCCAGGAGAGGATTGTCTGCCTCCTCACTCCATTATTCTGGAAGTGAATTTCCGCAGGTGTAAACTGACATCTGTCTGTCTATTCGTTCATGAATGACCATCTCCCGTGTTAGACTATACGCTACATGAGCGGAGGAATAAAGTTTCTTTTACTGATTGCTCTACCCCAGAACTCATAGTAGGCACTTGGTAAATATTTGTTAAGTATGTGAATATTCAAGGTGTGGAATGAGATAACTTCCTTGGAGCTGTTTTATCAGTAAGAGTCAAGCCTGTATGCTTTATTTTAAACATTGTCACTATTTATTGAGCACTTACTATGTCGCGTGGCTCCATGTCAACTTCATTTAGACACAGGAGAAGCCCTTTGTCTTAAGTACAATGAAATCACATCTTAAGGACGGACATGGGAGTTAAATTCTGAAGTTAGTAGAGAAGGCAAAAGTCGTATAATCAAAATTACCTAATTTAAACACTTCTCAAGTGAGATGCCCTCCATTGCCTGCTCACCCAGGAACGAATGGCCCTTGGGTGCAGTGGTAGGGCACTTAGCAACTACCCTCTCACTCCCAGCATCTACGTTAGGCTTGAAGTTAACTACGGTGTAACTGCCTGACTGGTATCATCCCCGTTCTAGGGATGAGGACCCGGGGCCATGAAGTGGACAGGCGGAGGGGGCAGAAAAGGAGGCGTGACGCCGAAGAGGATGCCCTGCGGTCCTCGCAGGCAGTCGAGAGGCAGTTCAGACTGAGGCAGGGGCTGGGGAACAGGATCCTGAAGCTCGGACGGGGTCGCGGTGTGAGGTAGTGATTCCTCAGGGAGCCAAAGGACAGTGGGCTAGGCCCCATTCCACTGCTCCAACCCTTCCCCACCTGGTTACTCACCAGCTCCGAGGGCCCCAGGTTTCTTCGCAGTTACCTCCGCAGTTGCCGCCGCGGTTCCTGCGTTGCTAGGTTACCCGCCAATCTCAGAAGGCGGGACTTGACGTCTGACTGACTTTTCTTTTCACCATTCAATTTCTTGTTCCGTTAAGTTAGCCCCACCTCCAGAGTAGTGACCAATCAGAAGAACCGTCTGTCTGACCTTTCACCAATCGAAAGACTCGAGACGCCCTCTGGGTTGGGCTGACTGAGTAAGGTGGGGAAGATGGGAGGAGAAAAGGGCGGAGCTTTCCGTCCCGCCCCCTCTTTGGGAGGCGGTGGGGAGTACTGCATCAGCAGCGGGCGAGAACCGGGGAAGGACGTGAGGTTTGGCCAATCAGAGCTCATCATGGCAGCAGAGTTAGCCAATAGGCCGCGGCGAAGGGGAAACAGGGTGGGGCCAGCGGGGTTGAGAGGACGGTAGGCGGCGGATGGGAGAGCTGGCGCAGCTGCTGTAGTGGCAGCTGCTGAAGTGGCGGCGGCTGCTGAAGTGGCGGCGGCTGCAACAGCTTCGGGCTCGGGGTTTTGGCGGCGGCACCGGCGGGCTGGGCTGCGCGGTGCGGACCCCGGCGCGCGGTCCGGGTTGCTGGGGCGGCGCGTGTAAGAATCCGAGGGGTGCGAGGGCTTGGCCCAAGGGAGAGGGCAGGGGTCAGGGGTCAGAGGGCGCGGAGTGAGGGATCGCGGCTGAGCAGCTGTTGTGGGAGGCGGGGTGGGCGGGCCCAGAGGGACCGCTGGGAAGTCGCCGCGGCGCTTCTCTCCGTCCAGCCCAGGCTGGGGCTTTGCACCCCCCTCCTCGCCCCCAGTTTCCTGGGGGCCCCCCACGTGGGCGCGCATGCTGGGGCTGGGAGCACGTGGAGCTGGCGCCGGCGCTCCTGCCTCCCTCCTCCTTCCACCCTCACCCGCTGGTCCCCCCGGCGCCCTCATGTGACCCTGCAGGAGGCTCGTGCCCAGGGCAGGATGTCCCAGCGGACAGCGGGATGGCAGCCGGCCCGCTCCCTGGGATCTTTCCCCAAGGGCGACCTTTTGGGTTCTCTGCAGCCGAGAAGCAAAGCCTGCGGGCGGAACAGTCTAGGACTTAGGAGTCCTGGGCTCTAGAACTGCCTCTGCTGCACTGTGTGACCTCGGGCAAGTCTCTTCCCCTCTCTGGGCCTCATTTTTGTCTCTGTATAATGATGGGTTTGAATCTAAGTTGGTTCTAGGGGTAGGAAGGGTCCCGAATTCAGACTGCGTGAGTTGAAATCTGGGCCGTACTACTTTCCAGCAGTTTACTTATTAGAGGCAAGTTAAGTTAACCACTCCAAGCCTCAGTTTTCTTATCTATAAAGTAGGGATATTTGCTAAGAGGATTTCTCAACCGCATCACTCTTGACATTTTGAGCTATGCAAGTCTCTGTTGTGTCACCTGTGCATTCTAGGATTAGTGGCACAGCAGTACTCTCACTCTCAAGTTGTGACAATCAGAAATGCCTCTGGACATTGCTGGTGACCCCTGGGGGCAAAATCACCCCAATTGAGAGCCACTGAGCAAAGAACATGCGTGCAAGCAAGTGAGCAGTAAGATATTGGACAGATAAAACAAAAATCACTAGTCATTATTATAATGGTGATAAAATTCAGAAACCTCCAGTTGAGCTAGTAGATTCACCTGCCTTCAAAATAAATAGAGAGAATAATTGTCAGAGCTGAGTAATGGGTACAAGGAAGTTCATTTATAAACTCTTCATTTGAGTATGCTTGAAATTATCTGGTAAAAAAAATTAAACCAAAAAAAAAAAAATAAAAACATAATTCGCAAGACTACCTAATGATAGCATCTCATCTGGGATTTCCTCTTCAGCCTCCCCACTACTGAGATATAAAAGCAAAATAAATCCCCAGAACTGGAGGAAACAAACAAAAATCTCACAGGAAGTTTGCTGGGCAGACAGCGACAGGCGTCACAGCAAGAACGGTGTTTACTCTTGCTAGCTTGTTTTAAAAAGATGTACTGTTCCCTATGAATGCACAGGAATTTGTTTGGTATTATTCTGATGAGTCGTGAAAGAAGTAAATGGCTCAGTTGCCATTCAGTGGGTCCATTCCCCAAAGTCAACTGAGCCCAGAGGCCACAGCTTGCAGAGGGAACCTGCTGTGTGTTCAAGTTCAAAGGTCTGTAGTCAGATGTGCTGAGGCTTTGCTTTTCTTTTGGCCCTCCTAAGCGGAAATGGGAATGTGTATAAATAGGAGCTAAAACAGGCTGCTCTGAAGGCCTTAAATAGGAGCTAAGAAGGAGCATTTTTACTGTGTTAAAAAATACTCATCATTTAAAAAAACCTCCTTTCAGCTGGGCTCGGTGGCTCAGCTGTAATCCCACGCTTTGGGAGGCTGAGGTGAGTG